GACAAGGCAGATTTTTTTCATATGTGGTGGGAACATATACGAGCTTCTAACTATTGGAAATTAGTGGTGAAAGCTATCTCAATAGGGTTAGAAATACAAATTCCCCATAGACCAGAGACTTCATTGTTGAATTACTTACCTGACACTTCTAAAGATCAACAAATGGTTGATCAGCATATGATTACTGCTGCCAGGCTGGTTTTTGTCAATCAATGGAAACAAGAAAACACTCCTAAATTACAAGATTGGTTGGAAAAGATAAAGGAGACATATACTTTAGTTAAATTAACTGCTTATCGGAATAATAGAGTTTTATGTGAACTAGGACTTCTATGGTCAAGAGCGATACAAAGAATGGAGATGATAATGGTATAAGTAAAAGAGTAGCAATATTGACAGTTGCTAATGAAAGGTTCTCTATGATTAGGGAAGAATGCTGAAACGGGGTTTAGATAGATTTAGATGGGCATTGTATTTTCAGACGTATTCTATATTTTTTTGTGTATTCATATGCATTTTGTATTTTATGGATTATTTTATTTTTAAAAGGCAGCTGGTGGCAACAGTTATCTCTGGCATATTTCAGACGATATCTTAGTTGGAACTGTTGTTGCCAACTGGCCTGGAGAAAAATATCATGTTTCTTTAATAAAGGCTTAAGGTGTAGAAATGGGCAGCTGAAGGTTTTCATGGCATGGAGGTAAATAACATAACCGGCTAAACAAAGTCCCATTAAACCTCTGTTAAAGGGACAGGATATTTTTTCCCCCTCTAGGCAGTTGGCAACCCTAATCGGAACCCACAACACCTCATCTAAAATAGAGTTGCTTACAGTTGGATAAGTAGGTTTATGACAACAGTGTCAAGTTTAGGAATAAAAATGTATGTTAAAATTTACAGAAGGTCTTGCCTAACTAGGCCTTATACATGCCTGCTCCAGTAAACCAAAGAGTGGAAGAAGCACAGGTGGAATAGTACACCTTATTGCAGTGAGACTGCAGACTGGATGTCTGATAGAAGCCCTAAGACCTTACTGGGGCAAAGAGCTCCCCTATAGTGTTTGGGATCTTGAACACCTGGGAGTTTACTTTAGAATGCTCCATTCATTTCCATTCCACATTGGACCATCCTGTCAGAGTTAAAGCCTTTTGGACAAAGGACAGTCTGGTTTGAGCCAGGCTACCTATTTGTCATGAAAGTTCAGAGCCATTACCAGATGCCTGATGGAGGTGGGCCTGTATTAGGGTTGCCAAGTCGCGCGGACTCACTGGCGGGGGGGCGTTGCCGGGGTCCGGGAGCTGCCGATGGAACGTCACAGGAAGTGACGCACGACGTAGAGCATGTTGGGGGCGTGGCTCCAATCGTTGGAGGGAAAACCATAGAGTTTTTCCTACGACGATTGGGGCCACGCCCCCAACGTGATCTACGTGGTTGCATCACTTCCTGTGACGCAGCCACGCTGTGCTTCGGGGGGCGGAATTCCCCCCGGGGCCCGATTCCGCACCGGCGGAAATTGGGCCTCCAAAGCGGGGGTTTACCTGCCCCCCGCCCCCACTTGGCAGCCCTAGCCTGTATAACTCTCCCACTGGTAACTGTAGCCTCTGACATCAGAGATGGGGATTTGTGTGGGATTGGAGAAATCAGAGCATCACTCTTAGAGAAGAGGATGGCTTAGGTCCAGTTCCATTGACCTTAAATATCGGGACCTTTGGGACTTTCCCTTGTCTTCAGTGGGAACTGGGTTCACAGGATGTTGGGTAGAGATTAAGGACTCCTCCAGCATCTTGTTACTGCAAAGACCTGTGCACATGCTCTGAGGAACCTGCTACAATTTAGGTAACATGTGTTTAGCTTAGTTAGTTCAACTGTATTGCTTTTTATTTGAATATCTCTGTGCTGTGTTGCTGTGTGCCTTCCCTGTGTATTGTGTTACCCTTTTCCCACCACATTTTTTAAACCAGCAACCCCTTTTCCTCTCCCCCTCCTTTTATAATAAACATTTTTTAAAAATACTTTGTTTGGCTTCACTTTCTCTGGGATAGTTTTCTTAATTTCTTCTGTGTGCTAGATTGCACATGTGCTACATAGTTGGTTATAAGGTATTTTCTAGGTTTCCACCCTGTCACTTCATGATTGCCCTAGTCCTGCGCTAGAAGAATACCTTCCCAGTGGGTCAGTCTATCAGGGGTGTCAATCATACGGCCCGTGGGCCAGAAGCGGCCCGTCCAGGGCTCTTTTCCGGCCCTCGAGCAACCTTTGTTGCCAGATGACAGAGGCAGTGCATTATGTCCCCATATACTGTCCCAGTGCTAATGCATAACAGGTAGTGGAAGTGGGAGGGTGGGCATCTGGGAGATACTGTAAGGAAATACTGTGAAAGTGTTAATGTTTTAAGTATGCTTGTATTTTGAGTAAAAAATAATATCATTAATTGGGTTTACCTGTTTTATACAGTTTATCTCTCCGGTGCCTGGCATTACTTTTTATGGCACACATGACCTAGCCCAACAAAGTGACATTTATGTCATATCTGGCCCTCGTATCAAATGAGTTTGACACCTCTGGTCTAAATGTTCTCAGGAGGTCCTGAGTGGTTGTGGCTGGTTACCAGGGTGTTTTCCTCAGCCTGAGTTTCGCAGCAAGGAAAGACACCATTCCCCCCCTTCCTGTAGTAACAGGATGTGTGTGAGCTTATTGAAGCTGAATCTAGGCATGACAAAGATTGGGGTGAGATGAACTGGCTCTTTGGCTTATTGGGAAAGTTCCTGTTGGGCTGCTGCCTCAAAGGGCCACTGATGGACAGGAGCAAGCTGTATCAGGTGGACACTGAGGTACTGGCAGTGTCACAAGGGCCACTTGGACACGATGCAACAATGACAGTGGGTGTCGCAAACCACCTCCCATTGTCACTGTTCCTGTGGCTCAGGTCTGAATAGCACTGCCAGCACCTCAGAGGCTGCTTGGCTGAGTGTGCTTCAGGGCTGTTTTAACATCTGAATCCACACCTGAGGAAGATGATTTACAGATCATTATTTCCGTTGAACAAAGGGGAGCACTTTACATCCTTTACAGAGTGGTAGGTAGATACAGACATATTGGTATTCTGCCATGCAGCCATTTCAGCAGCCCCTTGTGACTGCCGGAAAGTTCATCCCAGAGGTTACAGGATCCTTGTGGAAGAAGAGCCATACAGGTCAGTGGGCTGTAATGAGGAGTGACAAAGAGATGAAATCAACCCCTTTCCTCCATGGAGTTGTGCTGGCAGAAGAGGAAGGAGGAGCAATTTCACCCCCTTGCCCTGCCTCATGCCAGCCTCTCCCAATTCCACACATGTCCCTCCACCCTGGGGGTTCTCTTTCCCACAGTCAGAAGGAAGCAGAGAAACACAGGAAAATTTCATGTTCCCTGAACTGAATGGTTGGATACATGCCAATGTAGGTACAATTAAATGGTGGTATGAACTTAACTAGTAAGATGCTTCTGGTCTAGTTACTTTCACTCTGAGAGTGTTCTTTGAAGGGTGGGTCGTTGTTTTGAGAGTGCAAATAACCTTGTGTTACTTTTTCTTTCTTACAAGCTAACATAAATATATAGAAAAGCTCTTTATATCATTTTACTTACACAAAGCATTGTTAAAACTTTGAAAATATGAGTGGGACGGGAGGGCTGGGAATGATTTTGTCTGTTGTTACTTGTTGCCTAAACATCAAAAATGAAATGTTAAGATCCCCAAACTGCTCTGGGCAATGGGATGGTGATAATGGACATGTGCTGCTTGTCCTGGGCACTATCCAGTTGGCAAGTACACTAGCCACACCCAAATGTGTGTCTTTCTATTGCAGCAGCAACCAGCCGTACCTCTAGGGAGTCGTTTTGACTTTTTCCAGCATACTGCTAGAAGCACTGTGAGATCTGCAAAACCAATTTCACTGAAGACATGTTGGAACACAGACACTTTCAGTGTGCAATCAGGCAATGAGCTCTAAAGTATGGCCTCAGTTCTCTGATATTGCCTCATTATTTTAGTTGGCTGAGAGACTCAATTGATATAACATGAGAAGATTAAGGATGTATCATTGGGGGGGGGGGACTTTGGCCCCCTGGGCATTGGTAGCTTTGAGGATCTGAGAGCCAGTGTAGTCCATCAGGTAAAAAGCTGACCTTAGGAGACCTGGGATCCTACCTCTGCCAGGCACTGATAATGACTTGCCGAAGAATACGTAGCACAAAACTTCATGCAATCAATGGGGAGAAGCTGTAACATGTTAATTCAGATTGCAGTCCTTATATGGGAGTGAGCCTCATCAATCTTGGGGAGACTTACTCCTGAGTAAATATCTGTTAGATCAGGCGGCACAATACCCAAAATTTTATTTTCCAAATTATCTTTGGAAAAGTGAGTCTGTGGCTTGGATCCTAAGGTACCATTCTGTTGGCCCAGCAGAATGGCTTTTGCATCTGCATAGGAGAGAAGGGAGATTTTGGCCAATTGCTCCTCTTCTGTGGATTCCCAAGTAGCTCCACGTATTGTGCTTCTGATCCATTAGGGGGGGGGGGGGTTGCCTTCCTGTAGTGTGACTCCATTCACACCACTTAAGATCCAAGCCCATCCGTCTCTCTCACAAGAAACACACTTTACAGTTCTGAGCAGAATATTGCCTATTTGAACCTAATTTCCCAAAATAAAGGGCCAATTTATGATTTAACACATTGGCATTATCAGTTCCCAATAAATCACTCATTCCCAATAAGTCACTCATTTTGCTAATTTCTGAAACATAGCAACCATCGGCTTATGGTGGTTGCCATTTGTTCAGTAGCTGAAGCAACTGCCAAAAATAAATGGCATGGCTCTTTGTACTATGGATAGTTCATTGAGCTATTGAAATGTTTGCATTTTTTTTTAAAAAAAGAAGGGAGTTCTGTTGTTTAGAGTGTGGTAGTTTAGTACTGATCTCCTTCTCTCCCCCACTTTTTCCTTTGTGTGATTGAAACTGAAGCAGGGACGGCAGAAGAAGGCCCAGATACTTGGAAACGGGGAAGGATCAAAGGATTCAGACAGCTCGGCAGGCCATCGGGGAAGCTTGAGCCGAAAGCATGGACGGTGGAAGAGTCACCCAGACAATCCGGGTGTTCTGATGGCCAAGGTAGTGAGAGCCGTCACAGTGAAGCACAAACCTGGACGCAGAATGCCAGTCTACCTGGATTCCTCAAGCAGGAGGAACCTGACAGAGCTCAGAGGGGATGCCCAGCTGGCAGTGTTCCAGCACGGGGACACAGGCAGTGTGGAAGGGGCACCACAGCCCACTGAGAACAACTTCACTCCCAAGTGTGAGATCACAGGGAAAGATGCGCTGTCTGCATTAGCCAGAGCCAGCAGTAAGCAGTGTCAGCAAGAGATCGCCAATGTGGTGTGCCTACATCAAGCAGGGAACCTAATGCCACGCTCTCTGCCCCGGCAGTGCCAACTCTCAGGTGAGCACAGACTTTACCTTGGAGCATCATTACCACTTTGCAGATGCTTTGAATTCCCTTGTCTCAGGGGCATTTATTTGTACTCTGAGAGAACGACCAACCATTTCTTCATGCATACATGTGAAGTTGTCTTATACCAAGTCAAATCAATGATCCAGAGCTATTGACCCTGATGGGCCTCACTACTAAAAAAACCCCTTTGTCCCCAGGTGCTGTGAAGCAGACATGTGCTGAGTGTTCCTGGGTAAAACTTGATTTCCAAGGTGCCACTGTTTGCCTCATTGGGTAATGGCTTGCCCTTTCAGTCAATTCACAGCTTTCTCTCTCGCTATCTCTGACACCTTCCCAAACAAGAGCATAAGAGAGTTTAGACTGTCTCCTGACAAGTAGCTCCCACTGAGGAAGCATTTACAGCTAAGGTGACCAACTGGCCAGGAAAAAACATTCTGTCCTTTTAACAAAGGCTTTTAAAGTGTGGGAGTGGACAGTTGAAGCTTTTCACTGCATGGAGGTTAAAAAAAAATCAACTGGTGTTTACTACAAATCAAACTGATTTTAAAGGGACAGCTAGAGGGACCCGTTTGAATGACAACTCCCATTGGTGTCATTTAATGAATTTGTCAAAGGACATGACCCCATATTTGAGACTTGATCATAAAGTCCCACTTGCAGTAATCAGACAGCAATCCCATCATGGCATTTACATCTTAACACCTCAAATAACATTCACGTGGCTGCTGATATGAAAATTAATTGCTGCCTTTGGTCAGTTTCCCACACTGTCAGGTTTAGGGACTAAGTAGTCCTAGGCAGGGGTCACTTCGTAGAAAAAGAGGTGCAGGAGCTCATTAGCATAACCAATTAGCATAACTTATTTGCATATGCCACACCCCCTGACATCACCGGAAGTGTGTCAGAAGGCAACACCCACCGCTCAGGCTCCACTGGACTGTTTTAGATTGCTAGCTATTGGGGGGGGGACGTGCAGATCTCTTCTCACAGAGGAGGGAGAGCTTGTACCTGAAGGTGGGCCAGGGGGGCTCTGCAACTTACCTGGCTGCTTCTTGCTCCTCGTGGCCCAACTGAGGGCTGCTGGGAGCAGGGGGTGGGGCTTGCTGCATGTGCCCGCCCCCTGGGCTCCTTACTGCCGGAGCTCCGCTCCTGTGCGCTCCCGCAGGAAATGACCCCTGGTCCTAGGGCCTTCCTTCCGTTAGAAAGGTCATTGTGTCTTCAGAAGACTGGGTAGCAGCTCTTCCTCCTCTCTGCGGGGACAGGTTTAGCTCTGCCTGCTGAAATGATGATTATCCTGTGTCTGATCTCTGCAGGGAAAGTCAGCCCGGTGATCCAGTGGGATGACAGCAGGATGCTCCAAGTCTCAGTGAGCAAGCCAGTCCGGATTGTGTACATGTTGGTGGTTCATGGACGAGCCATCCGCCAGCTGAAGCGCCTCATCAAGGCCGTGTATCATCAGCAACATTTCTTCTACATCCATGTTGACAAGGTAGGGTATGTGGACATCCAGGAGTCCACAAATCCCTCACCAGGTTCCTAGAGCAACTGCCCTCCTCCTCTGGTGAGGCCCAGCACAAAGAATCTTTCCCATAAGTCATCTGTGTGCTAGTTGCAGGGAACATGGGAGAGAGCCCTTCTGTGCTCTCCTCTTGTGTTGGCCTTTAGTGAGAGGCAGTGACTTCTGCCACTCTTGCCTCCTCTAGAATGCCTTGCCAAGTGAAGCAAGATTCCCCCCCCAAAAAATAAAAAAATTCTGAGGTGTCTTTGCAGTGTGTTCTAGAGAAGGAAAGGAATAATATGAGGAATGCCTGTGACTTCTTTCCTTATCAATAATATGGCGTGAACGGAGGGCTACACTCTAATGATGCTCTGATGAGACATGCAGTTGGAAATATTCTCCGTATGCAGGGAAAGAATGGTAGAAGTGAATGTATATAGCCCAGGGGCTATAGTTTCCTATTTTACTGGTGGTTCCTTAAATGGCTTTGGACAGGACATCATGTACACCATGAATATACATGGACTAAATTATTGATGGTTATATTATACGTTACAATGCTTACTCCAGTTGTAAAAGTAAATGTGGAATTCTCAGTTTTCCTGTTTACGTAGCCCTCTTGCTTTCACTTATGCTAACTTGATATATTCTCTTTATTGTTTTATTTATTTAAAACATTTTATGCCACCTTTCCACCCAAATAGCGTTCCCAAGGTGAGTATGATGGGAAGACTGAAAAATTAATATATTGGACCGAAACTAGAAGCAGAAGCTCATATAATCTGAGGGGACAGTAGAGGTAGGGTAGGAATAGCCTGGGGTGGGTTGTAGGGACCAGATTACTCCAGTCCAGTGTTCCCTCTAAACTGAATTAGTGTCAGCTGGGTCACAGTTTTTTAGCCTCCGGCTCACACATTTTTGTCTTAGCTCAGGAAGGATGGCTCCAGGGCAAACTGATTCATGCAGTAGCCAAATTGCTCACTCACAAGTTTAATGCCAGTAGCTCACAAAGTAAAAATTTTGCTCACAAGACTCCACAGCTTAGAGGGAGCATTGCTCCAGTCTTGTTCGATCTACACTGGCTCCCAAATTGCTTCCAGACCCAATTCAGGGTGCTCCTACTGACCTTTAAAGCCCTATAGGGCTGGAGGCCAGGATATCTAAAGGATTGCCTTCTCCCATAAGGACCTACCCAACCACTCTGGTCATCATTGGAGGCCCTGTTTTGGGTGGCCCTTCCACCTGAGGCTAGATGAGTGGGAACCCGAGAAAGGGCCTTCTTGGTTGTGGCGTCGAATCTTTGGAACTCCCTCCCCAGGGAAATTCATCTGTTTACCTCTGTCGTTGTCTTCCACCAGCAGGTTAAGGCTTTTGTTTTCTGTGGTTTTCCTATACCATTATTGGTCCTCCTCCTCCCTGGTTGTGTTGTTCTGTGTGTTTGTGTATTTATATCTTTTAGTGAATTGTTTAAAGATTTTATATACATATAAACAGGGCTTTTTTTGTAGAAAAAGCCCAGCAGGAACTCATAAACATAATAGGCCACACCCAACAGCAGGAACTCATTAGCATATTAGAACACACCCCTGACAGCACAGCTCATTTGCATATTAGGCCACACCCCCGTGTTACCAGAAGTGTGATCATCCATCCACACCCACCTTTTGCTTCTTATTCTCTTTACCTTGTTTGTTGTCAAAACCCAGGACTTTTTGCATGTTAGGCCACACACCCCTAATTGTAGCCAGTCCGAATGAGTTTCTGCTGTTGGGTGTGGCCTATTATGCTAATGAGTTCCTGCTGGGTGTGGCCAACTTGGGAGCCAGCCGGAACTCCGTTCCTGTGCGTTCCTGCCCAAAAATAGCCCTGCATATAAATGTATTTATATTTTAAAGGCTGGTTTAGTGGCATAGGAATGCTATAAACAAAATAATAATAGCCCTTTTGCTGACCACTGAAAGCAAACTCTCCTGGATTTTTTATTCTGTTTTTAGCCTTTAGGAAAACAAGACTGGATAGTCAGCCACCCTGAGCCTATCGGGGAGGGCGGGGTATAAATGTGAAAAATAAATAATAATAAATAATAAATAAATAGTTTTGAATTTTTCAACTAAAGAACACTTGAAATCCTGTAAATGAAAGTTGTCCTGTTCAGGCTAATCTGCACTGCACCTCAGAGCTTTGCACTGCCATGCATATTCCTAATCACTTTTAGAAAGGGAGGAAACAGATTGAACTGTGATCCTCCCTGGGAAGCTCTGTAGAACTTGAGCTTGGCACTCAGTTTTCTCTCCTGGTTCCCGCCCCTTACAGCGCTCTACTTATCTACACCGTGAAGTATTGGGGGTGGCCCAGCATTATTCCAACATCCGGGTCACTCCCTGGAATATGGTCACTATCTGGGGCGGGGCCAGCCTGCTGAAGATGTACCTGCGTAGCATGAAGGATCTGCTAGAGATGACGGACTGGCCCTGGGACTACTTCATCAACCTGAGTGCCACAGACTACCCTACAAGGTCAGTGAGGCAGGGAGGGAGGAAGAGGCAGAGGAGGGAAGACTTTTAGGCTATGATTAATTGGATATTACTTTTTGGAATTGGCCACCTCACATGGTAGGATCCTGTGTAGGCCTCACTTAGCTAGAAGGGGTTCTTTCTTTTCTTTGCCTAACCTACTGGAGAAGCTGAAGATGGAAAACAGAAGAGCAAGCAGACTATTCTTCACTGCAGAACGCAAAGAAGCAAGGCCCATAAAATGGATGGGAGAAAGGTGGTAAAGTAGACCCAAGGGTAGAAGTACAGTGGGGCTTGACTGCGGAGCAGTACCCAGATTTTTAAGGGGTGGCCTTTATCATGATAATATTTATAACTTGTGTGGGAAGTCTTCTATTTTGAAACACACTGCCTATTTATGAAAGGGTGCATTCCCACTGCAGACTTGGGGTCTTCATGGCTGTTAGACCATGCAGGTCCCATGACCCTGGGAATAAGTTTTCCCACTGTTGAAAAGGACTGCTGAGTGGAGGAGAATGTGTGAAAGTTCTGCCACCGTCAAGTGCCACTTTCTGATAGATGGGATCCAATCCATGAAGCCATCCTATACTGAGTCCCATCATTGGTTCTTCTCAATACCTAGATCAGTGGTCTTTTACCTTTCCTGGATCCACCTTTAACCACCCAAGATAGCAGGTATTGTACTGAGCTGGAAGTATGTGAGGAAGTCATGTGACAGGAAGAAGAAGCATTATGGCCTGCTGGTGACAGAGTCCAAATTCATATGAGATTGGAGGACCAACTGGCAGAGGGGCAGGAAGTGGCTGGGCCCTATTCTGCTGAAAGGGAGAAGAGAAAGTAGGCAAAACCGCTTTTCTAGGAAGAGAGTTATATTTGATCCTGGCTGTACTAAAAAGGAATGCTCTCAAATGCTGAGTGGCCTCACTTCTTTCTGCGGCTCCTCTCACTATGCTTGTATAAAAAGAAGAGGGCGTAGCACTCTTTCTCTCTGAGCATGCACACTAGCAGTACATCCTTCCAAAATGGACCAAAAAATGTGAGCTCTTAGGGGCTCGCAGCCTAGGAGGCGGGGGCTCCATGATCTACCTCATGGCCTTGCCACATGGGTTGGACCACTGCCCTAGGCAGCCTTTGCACAGCTGGAGATTTTTAATGAATTAGTGCCATGTAATGTTAGGTGAAATCAAGTAGTGCATATTTGATATGCGTAGATCCATGAAGCTGTTCAGTCAATTTGTACAGTTATATACACTTGTTCGTCTTCTCTTTAAATTGATGAATTCTTTGTCCATTTAGAACGTATTCTGATACAATTTTGGTTGCCCTAATACTGGTGACCGGGTAGAGCCATAGTTCCCTCCCCACTATTTATATTAATTTCTCCTTTGAATTACTGCCCCCTGCAGGACCAATGAGGAGCTGGTGATGTTCCTGTCAAAATATAGAGACAAGAACTTCCTGAAGTCTCATGGCCGAGATAATGCCAGGTAATTCTTTCACTGAGGCTTGGCACATACTCCTTTCCTTTCATTTAATTATTTGGCTCTTTTGGCCACAGCCTTAATTCTAAAGTGAGGCTTGGCATTGGGGATGAGTTTAAAACAAGCAGTGGGCAAAAGTGGGTGGAAAGAATACGTGACCACCATCATATGAATTACATGACCATCGGTTGTTGCCACATAACATTTCTGTAGCACAGTATCTGTGACTCATGGCAAAATACCTACTGCCGCTTCATTGACCCAGCGAGGCTATGTTAATTGAATGAAATGCATATACAGGGGCAGTATACCAGTGTAAACATGAATTGTGAAATTTGACTGTTCGGAAATTTAGCTTCCAAATATTTTCAGAGTCCCAGTTTTTTTCTTTTAATGTTTACATTTTATTGACTTTGTTTTAAAAATAAAGGTTCTAGATCTTTTTTAAGGGGGGGGGCTTTAAAATATATGCACAGTTTTTCTAGAAACTCAGTTTTTTCCTTACCCTGTATAGTTCCCAGTGCCTGTTCTCCTGCTAATAATGGCACAATACAGAACAAAAGTGAGATACACAATATAAAATGTGAACCGTAATAAGAAACTGTGCAAATTTTCCTCTGAATGTAACTTATAAAATTTTCAATAAATTCCTTCAAAAAACAACTCTGTGTGTGTGTGTGTGTGTGTGTGTGTGTATGTATGTGTGTATATATATATATATATATGAAAGTATTTATAACTATTGATATTCAATTTCACAATAATACCAACACCTAAACAATAAATATTGTACCTTGTGAGTACAATATTTATTGTTTAGGAGTTGGTAGTATTATGATATGGAATAACAATTGTTATAAATACTTTCATATATATACACCATGATTTTTTGTTTTTTGAATGAATTTATCGAAAATTTTATAAGTTACATTCAAAGGAAATTTTGCACAGTTTCTTATTACGGTTAATAATGTCACAATGGCAGTGATTGCCAAAAGCAAAAGAACTTTGGAATCAGAATATTTTTGCCCTCCCCCACCCTTTTCTCCACAGAGACTTGCAATTATGTATAAAGAATTTATCACAGTGCAAAGGATGTAAATAAGATGTTTCTGCTGTAAATAAATAACCTGAAACTCTTCATAGCCTTCTGCCGATGCTTGTCTTTTCTTCATGGGTCTTCCTGAAGCGACTCTGCTACCAACTTCATTTGAGTGCTTCTGGAAAGGCTGCTCTAGAAAAGTTCTGCTCGCTTGAAGAGTAGGGATTGGCAGACTCATGGTAATAGCGTGAGCTAGGTTGGTTTTGCTGTTTCTGCATCTTCTGGTCCCTTGCAGATAAGATGAAAGTTCCAGCTAGTGATGAACTAGGCAAAATAAATATAAGTATTTAGACTATCAGGAGTTTTTGGCAGCAGGGTCTGGAGTTCTAGTGTAACATTCTAGATGACCCCTTTTCACTGTGATCTCAGTGCAGAAAACTCTGTGTTGCTTTCCTACTGAATCTGAGGCCTTCATCCCTGCACAGGTTCATCAAGAAGCAGGGTCTAGACCGACTTTTCCATGAATGCGACTCTCATATGTGGCGGCTGGGCGAACGACAGATTCCTGAGGGCATTGTGGTGGACGGTGGCTCTGATTGGTTTGCCCTCACTCGCAGCTTTGTGGAATATGTGGTCTACACCACTGACAAACTGGTCTCCCAGCTACAGCAGTTCTACACATATACACTTCTCCCAGCAGAGGTGGGTTCCTGGCTGGAGCTAAATCAAGGAGCTCAGGCTTAGAGCTACATGGCATAGCGAATAGTACTCTGGTAGGGAACTAAAGACCTTGAAGCTGCATTCCTGGCTAAGCCTTGGATGAGTCACTTCTTCTCTCCCTGCTATACTTGTCTAACTATACTGGCATTCTTCAGGGCAGTAAAATGGCCAAGTCTTTAATGATTATTTTTCCTGAGAAGGAAATTATCTGTGAATTAGGAGGATGAGAACACTGTGCAAACACTGGAGGGAAATTGGCCCTTTTTCTTCCCCATTCCATTTCTGACTGCAGTAAAGAGCATTACATGAGAACCATATGTGTGTAGATTGATGTTGACTGTGGTGCAACAGATACTGCCTTTTTTCCTAGATAAGTAGGATATGTCTGCGTACCTGTTCTGGTGCTGAAGAGCTATGAGATAGTTGAGTGAACAGATGCCATTTATGCAATCCCTTTTATTTTTTAATATCAGGAACTTAATTACCTTAAATATGGAAATTTGCAAGATCTGTTGGCACAAAGTGAGGCTGTGGTTTTTGTCATGTTTTTGCTTTGCATCATCCAACAGCCCGCATGCGGGGAGGGCGAGGTATAAATGAAATAAAATAAATAAACAGGAAGACGTTGGCCTCTGCAAACAAATTGCTTTCCAAATAACTCTGATGCAAATATATATTAAAAGATTCCATTTATTTCAGTTTTGGCATTGCAGAGAACGAGTGTGTTAATCACTACATCTCAGCTAACATTTGATAGTTCATGCATAAAGCAAAGAAATTAAAGGAGAAAAGGATTCATGGATGGATTTTCCAGAAATCTGAAGCCCTATGATAATTTTTAATTATCTTTATTTTTAATTATCTTTATTTAGAGCTTATTTTATTCTTATGACTCAGAGCAGGTCTCAGTTAATTACTCTCTGCATTCCACAGTTAAGGATACATCTGCTCATCAATTTCCAATTTTGACATATTTATTCACTATGTTTTCCCCTAGAATTAAACTCAAACAGATGGTAACCTAAACTTGTTATTCCTGTTTGGTCTTTGCATCTGTTAAACATCCTCATTATGCTGTATGCTAATTTGCAGGCCACCCTATACCTATATGTATGGACTGGTAACTGTATCTGAAGAAGTGTGCTTATACTTTGACTAAAACTTTGCTGGCCTTAAAGGTGCCACTGGACTCGAACTTTGTTCTAATATTTTCCTTAGTCATCCTCACAAAACCCCAGCAGGTTTAGGATGGTAGTTTTCAAACTTGCTATCATTGAGGACCCATTTCCATGCTGACTAGGTCCCTGTATATATTGGGAGATTCTTTGGTGTGTTCTGAGCCACTCACACTGTCCGAGCAAAGCACTGGCCAAGCCCATTGAGTCTTGCCATGACCATGTGTGAACATTGTCGCTCTAGAATACATTGAGGATGGCTGGGGAAGATCAGTAATGATGAGACTTCTTTCAGGGAAATCTTTCTGCTATTTCTGTTCCTCATTACTAGGGCTGCAATGTTGAATCAGTTAGATCATTTGTTTTTAAAACTTTTTTATCAACTAAAACGATGCTTGCAATTAATCAAGCAGCATTTAAAAAAAAGAAATTAAGTATTTTGCAGTAAGTATAAACCCATGGGTAGCAGACATCTTCTTGGATCCTACTGAAAATTACTTCTTACAAGAGGATTTCCATCAGCAGAGCATGAATTTCTTGTCTCCCCCTTCCTGCTGCTGATCAAAATGCCCACTGAAATATTTCTACCCCTGGCGGACCATAGATCCCCAGAAGCATCATAAGGGGGGGAGTCGGAGGTCTGCAGCAAGAGGGAGGAATTGGCAAACATCGCACTCCCTTCCACCTGCAGGAATCTTAGGCCAGATCCAACCCTTTGTCTCAGAATATGCATACCCCTCACCATTATCTTTCAGTTACAAAGTGATGCCTTTTTTGTGGCAGGATCTGCCTGGGATACTTAGGCGTCCTATTGAAATACAAAAAGTACCCTGTCTTCCTTCAGAACTATGACATTTATTCATGTACATACTTCTGCAGATTTACAATGCAGTGCTAGGCAGAATTGCACCCTTCTAAATTCATTGAAACTAGTAGGCTTAGGAAGGTCTAACTGTGCTTACGACTAAACTGTTAATCAATTTAGTTAATTAACTAACATTCGTACAAGTGATCGACTAAGATTTCTTTAGTTGGGTGGTAGGTCTGCTTGTTAAAAAAATGCCTGATCAACATCTAAGGAATCCCAGCAACACATAAAAAATTATTTTGATCCAGTTCTCCCACATCACTCTTAAAGTATCTGTCCAGTGCACCATTTTGACTTTCCAGTGGTGGAACTGGCAGATGTGGTTCATAATACCGATGTTTCAGTTAAGGCAAAGCAGGGTGTAGGACTGATCTGTAGATTTAAGGATATTAAGAGTAAGCGTCTTCCATTTAACAAACACCATCCAGTGAACTCTGCAAAAATACATAGGTAAAATCTGTCAGTGATGGTGATATTGTGTTTTTTCACAGAATTCATGGACAATCCTGACAGCGTTAGGTACAGAATGATAAACACGAAGACCTGACAGATACCGTTTGCTAGCAGTTTCCAGTATTACCATTGCCCCATTCCACATTTGCTTCTGGTTCCCAAATCCCTGCAAAAGGGAATTCGGGGAAGGAGATAAGGCAGTCTTTCCAGCTAGAAGTTGAAACCTTAAACATCTTAGCATGGTTTGCTTATGGTGAATAAAGTATTCTGATCATGTAAGTTTGAGGTTTCTTCTTGCAGAGTGTGGCTTTTCTTGTTTCAGAATGTGGAAGTGTTTGCAGCACACTCAGCACCCACAGGCCTGCACTTTATATCATGGTCAGTGCTAGAACAAGGCATATTTGGGGTGAGGCGGGCAGTGGTTGTCACTTGGAAGGGGTTGCCCCCATTGCTCACTGTAGCCCTTGCGCTCTCTCTCTCTTTCTCTCTCTCTCTGTTTGTGTACAGTCTTTTTTCCATACCGTCCTGGAGAACAGCCACGCCTGCGATACCCTGGTAGACAATAACCTCCGGGTGACAAACTGGAACCGCAAGCTGGGCTGCAAGTGCCAGTACAAGCACATTGTGGACTGGTGCGGCTGCTCGCCAAATGACTTCAAGCCGCAGGACTTCTTGCGACTGCAGGTGATGGAGAAATCTCCCTTCTCTCTACCACAGTCCAGCTCCCCTCCTAGTCTCATCTGCCCTCTTTTTGCCCTTGGTTTGCTTTGATAAGCAGCCTGGCTTCTCTCATTCCGTGGACTTCTTCAGACAGGTAGCTCTGACTAAGTGAAATGGTACATCTGTGTATCTTCTCAGTGCCACCGCCTGGTTATGTGCTGTCAGAATCACCACCACGACCACAGCACTCCAGTCATAGCAGACTGGGGAGTGGTCAGGAGCAATGTTCCCTCTAAGCTATGGAGCCCTGTGAGCAAAAATTCTACTTTGTGAGCAGGAGCTTTGGCTGCTGCATAAATTAGTTTGCTCTGGAGCCATCCCTTCCTGAGCTAAGACAAAAATGTGTGTGAGCCAGAGGCTAAAAAACTGTGAGCTAGCTCACACTCAGCTTAAAGGGAACACTGGTCAGGAGCTGACCATGAAGAGGGAAGGAAGTATCAAAAGGGCAATGTCTTCTTTAAAACAGTAGGGAAAAAAAGGTGGAGGGCAATGCCAGGCACAGAGAGCAACATGACAGAAGGCACAGAGACAGAAACAGGAGGGAAGGAGGCATTAGGGAATGACAAGAACATAAGAACATAAGAGATGCCAATGTTGGATCAGGCCAAAGGCCCATCCAGTCCAACACTTTGTATCACACAGTGGCCAGAAATACCAGTGCCATCAGGAGGTCCACCAGTGGGGCCAGGACATTAGAAGCCCTCCCACTGTTGACCCCCCACCCCCAAGCACCAAGAAGACAGAGCATCACTTGCCCCAGAGTCCCTATCTATACCTTGTGGCTAATAGCCACTGATGGACCTCTGCTCCATATGCTTATCTAATTCCCTTTTGAAGCCGCCCATGCTTGTAGCCGCCACCACTTCCTGTGGCAGTGAATTCCATGTGTTAATCACTCTTTGGGTGAAGAAGAGATGATCTTGAGGGGAATGGAGAGCGAGCGAGTAAAGAGGCCAAGGGGGAAGACAGTCTGGCCCCAAAAGTTGGAGTGCTTTGAGAGCAACCTTGAAATTAGTACAAAGCATGAGAAAACAGTGCAAGGACTTAAGGAGACATGCGGCTTAAATATGGGCACATGAAATGGTGAGCTCAGGGGATGCAGAAATGGAGTCTGAGTTATAGTACAATCCTACGTGGTGATTTCATTCTAAGAACATTTATTTTAAATAGGCTTAGACTGGCGTCACTCTAGATAGGATTGCGCTGTTAAAATGCCTTGTAAGTGATGACAACCCCAGTTAGTGTTTCGAAAACCGATTCTGCTGTTTGGTATTATGTGAAGAGATCACTTTGGAGGTTCATGATGGACTCATGGGGATTATAAGAAGCTATTGCACAGACCAAACTGATGCAACAGCGACCTGCTTGCAAAAGCATACAAGAATAATACTGACAAGTGATTCCAAGCTATGCTGGCTGGCTGGAAATATTCTTGGAAGGCAGATGGCTTTTCCTGAGGAGCTTGAAGTTTTGCCATCACAGCCCTTGAGAATCACTGCAGAACTTCCATCGGCATGATTAAGCTGCAGTTAGGAGTGCAGAGATGTCCACTAGTCCAAATCTCTAAGAGATCAAATGCAGTTGTGTCTTGCATTGTGCTACAGGCAGTAAAATGTCTTCATGACTGACCTCCATACCACTGCCCTCCAAAAGGGCTTCCACCTTTTCAAACACTTTGCCTGATTATCCTTTTCCAAATAAGACCATACAACCAGCCGGGGCTTCTAGAGGCCCCACGCTGGAAGATGAAATGTTCCATGGCAGTTGTATAGGTTGCATTCTAATTTACAAAAGTATCTGTTGATACTTTGGGAAAGGGGTCTGTTGAGGAAAGGCACTTTTCCCACTTTCACTCTTATGTCTTCTCCTGATGGTCAGTTCTTAGTTTTCTTTCCGTTTTCTGTTGACTAGCCTAAATGTCTCAGGATTTGGGTTTTAAAGCTCTCTCCCAAACCATCTGTCTTTTCAGCAACTCTCCAGACCCACCTTCTTTGCCAGGAAGTTTGAATCAACCATTAATCAGGAGGTGCTGGAGATCTTGGACTCCCATCTCTATGGTAACTACCCACCTAACATGCCAGCCCTCAAGGCCTATTGGGAGAGTGTCTATGACTTCGTGGATGGGCTGAGTGGGCTCAGCGACGTCACCTTGACTGTGTACACATCCTTCTCCAGGCTGGGGCTGCAGAAAGTGACATCTGCACAGGCACAGAAAGATGAGAGGCTTTGCAGGTAGTTCCACCGATTGCAAAATACTGGGGTTACGGAAGTGGTTGGGTTATGGGAGCTTTTGTCTTTGAATTTCTAGACTTATTCGTCCTCTTGACTTACAGGGAAAGGCACCCACTGCTGTGTAGAAATATTGGTGTTTAACTTCCTGGGGCATCACTGCTGCTTTGAGATTACAGGGCACTGTACCTTCGGAGTTCCCTCCCTTAATGTTTTCAAGTTTGACCATTGCTTGGACTAGTCCTTATTCAGTAATGGTGTTTGTCCTTTGGAACGGAGGGCCTCTGCATTGGATTGTACAGCCACTTTGTTCAGACGGGCCTTTGTCAGTGATGAAAGATTATGAGGGAGTTTTGCGCTGTGCAGGGTGCAGGGGTGTGGCTTATTACCGTTTGTTATAATTGGCCTGTTTTGTGGTTGTAATGTCTCTATTGCTTGCTTAGATGTCTTTTGTAAGCCACCTTGAGCCACCATAGATGGTAGGAAAGGCAGGATATAAACTCTGAAATAAACAGCTGATGCATACCAGAAGTCTTGGGCTCAGTGCCTGGTATCTCCAGATTAAAGGCTTTGGGGTAACAGGTCTGGAAATGGCCTTGGGGAACTTCTGCTGGCTGAAGTAAAAAAGTGCTAGACTAGATGGATGAACTAGTATCCTGACTTTGTATAATGCAGCTTCTTGTATTTATATGGCAGTGGGTATCCAGGGTAAGACCGCATGAGGACAATGAATTTCAGTAACAGACACAGTTCTGTGGGAAGTCAAGATTATCCTATTAAACACCCTTGACTAACAGGCCCAGAGAAGCCTGTGGTTTCTGATTAAGATATTATGACGTAATCGTGGCTTTCTCTCTTTCTCCAGATTTGAGCCACAGGGCTTCCCATCCAGTGTGCATCTGTATTTCTATGATGACCATTTCCAGGGTTACTTGGTGACTCAGGAAGTGAAGAACACTGTAACACAGCAGACGGACTCTCTAGAAATGTGGATGATGCCCCGAGGGACTCTCAAACTAGCCAGTCGTGGGAGACAAACTAACCGTCTGCAAAATCTGGAGGTAGGACTCCAGTTTCTTCCCTTCTGCTGATAAACTCTTCTGGCTCAAATCTGTCCAAGTGTCCACATGGCTGTACACTTTCTCTCCTAGAGCCCATGTTGTGCCAGTATGAAAGCATCTGAAAGAAAAAGGCCTTCTGTTGAGATGCAAAATGAACTTGGTCTCAGATTTGGAAATATCCCTTTATAAAGGGAAAACAGGAGATGGAGACTATGGATAGATCAAGGTTACTGAACAAGCTGTAGAGTTCCCTGTAGCCTCAAAATTTGCAGCATGTTCTCTTTCCCCACTGATGGAGTAGCATTGGCCCTTTCGTCTCTACCTTATACAACTTCTGGAAGGCTAGCAACAAGGGTGTAGTGGATCACCTTTGGAAAACTATCCCTGCAAATGGGTTACTTTTTTTGAGCAATTGTGTAAAGACTCTCCTTTAACCCCAGTGACAACTGCTGATTTTGAAGACTTGCCTTCCTGGCCGCCAGTTTCTCAAGAGGAAATTAAATCCTATATAGTTCAATTAAAATCTGCTAAGGCTCCAGGATCTGACAGACTACCACCTGAATTTTTGAAAGAAAATATTGATTGGTGGGCACCCTTCCTTTTCATTTTATCGATTCTTCAGGCCTTATCCCCTCAGAGTGGAATATGGCAATAGTGGTCCCCATATTCAAAAAGGGCGCAAGAGAAGAGCCCGCAAATTATCAGCCTATTAGCCTTTTAAATATATGTAGCAAGTTATATGCTAAACACCTTCTGGTAAAGCTTGAGGATTGGCTGATCCAAGAAAATGTGATTGTGATAGAGCAAGCTGGTTTTAGAGACTTTAGATCCACTTTGGACCACTTCCTTACCATTCAACACCCTACAGAAAAATACGCTGCTAAAGGTCCTAATTCGCTTTTTGCTGCTTTCATTGACTTGAAAGGCAGCGCGCAGTAAGGCGATTCACCAGGGGGATGTCTGGTCGTGCTACGATGGATTTAAAAGATTGGGATAAAATTAAAGCTGGCATAATGACGGGATTAGCTGCCCGTCTGAATGCACCCCAAATTTTTCAGAGCAGTTCTTCAGGTCCCGAGGTGTGTATCAAATACACTGATTCATCTGTATCAATGGAAGCCAAAATTACTTTAGCTTCACTCCAGTATTGGCTTAAACTAAATTTCCATCCTCAGGGACTAACCCACATTTTACTCTCAGACAACTTTCAATTGAAATGTCTGAGAGCAGTTCATAATAAATTATATGCTCTTGGTTTTTCCCCCCCAAGCGATTTTGAGTATGCATTGGGATGTAGCAAAATCAGCCCTAAAACAGAGAATGATGGACATGGAGAGACAGACAGATCTGGGTAGATGTCCTATGTTTAGAGCCCCAGATTCTGTCAAATATCGCTTGCAACCCATATCCTATTTATCGCAGCTTGATACTCACAAGTTTAGGAAAACCTTCACATTAGCCAGATGTGAGGCTTCCTCCTCCGCGATGCTTGAGGGCAGATTCAAAAGGATCCCTACTGAATATAGACTTTGTCGATGCAGCTCAGGAGAGATAGAAACTATTGAGCGCATGAGGCTCAGATGTAACTGGTATAAACAAGATCTGTGAGAAATATATTACTCCTCTTATAACAGATATGGTGGGACAATCAGGTGCTGAGCGGTGTAACCAATTATTAATTGATCGGAACCGGACAATTACCGAAACTGGCAAAATTTTGGGTAGCATGCTACCGCATCCAAAATACACGATCAAATATATAATAATAGTTGCCTAATAGTCTCTGTTTTATGTTCTTTTTTTACTTCATTACGCTCAACTGTATTTTTTATAGAGTTTTATTTTACTGTCCTAAATTCAGTTATATGAATGTTATGAATGCTATATTTAAGCATGTGTGTTCTATGGCTTGTCGCCATAATAAATGCCTGCCTGCCCGACTGACTATTCCACAGTGTAGGGGGCCATCACTGAGAGCCAAAATTTAGCAGTGAGGGACCAGATAAAATTGAGGGCATCACAAGTAACTTCTGATGGGAGGACCTGAGCTAGCTGATGGGTTGATAGGAAGAGGTCCTTAAGATAAGCTCCTTATAGTTCTTGCTCCTTAAAAAGAGATGAGTGCAGTTTCTCCTGATTATAGTTCCATGTTCTTGGCACCCCATACCTGTCAGAAAGTGGGCTGCTGCACTCAGCACCAGTTGAAGTTTTCAGAATAGTTTCTTGGTCAACCCCATGTAGAACGTGTTGCAATAATCCAGTCTAAAGTTTGCAAGAGCATCATTCAGTGTGGCTAGGTCAGCTGAGTCCAGAAGGGATGATACTTTACAAATCAGGTGGAGATGATAGGAAGCACTCTAAGCCCAAGAAATTCCAGGCATCTGCTTACCATGACACCTAGAAATTTTATCATGACACTTTTAAAAAGGCCAGCAGAAGGGAGCTCTCATGCCCCCTGGCACTGACATCCCATCCACATCCACACCATGGGAATTCATGGCCCCGAGCTGATCAAGGCACTGTGATTGCAACAGCTGGAAAGTGCAGATTTCTCCCAAGGTGAGGGAACTTTTACCTTTACCTTTAGAACCGGGGGGGGGGGGATGGGAGGGTGTAGAAGGAACAAGTCCCACAAACTGAATATCACCCCAAAATGGCCTTCTTCAATTCTACTCTGCAAAATGGCTGACCGCTCAGCATAAGACCTCACCAATATAGCCACCTTTTAATGTCCCTCCCCAAAATGTCACCTTCAAATGGCCACACCAAAAATAGCTGCCAGACTAAAACTGCCACTCCCAAAATGGTAGTTCCACTCAGCCACACCAGAAATGGCCGCCTGTCTAACTGCCACCTTTATGTAAACCGTATGTTTAATACCACCAGGGGGCGACGTCCACCAAAACTACCCGGGCCGTTTTATTCGAATGGTGACTGACAATGGGGGGGGGGGGGGGACCAAAGGTGGACAAGGGGGTTTACAGGGCACTGAGCAAGTAACCCCGCTTGGGGAAAATACATGCTACCCCCAGCTCCACTCCCCCGGGATGCCTATATGAGCCCTCACAAGCCCAGGGACCCGGCCCTGACACGGCTAAGCAGCCCCAGCCCAAAAGCCCCGCTGCCTCCAAAAGGTAAGACCCGCGCTGCTGAGAAGTCTCTCTGCGTGTACTCCCTGTCACCGAGTCTGCACAGCCACCGTCGCTGTGCAAACAGACGTTGCCGCCGAGAAGCCTCTCCACACAATCTCTGAGAAGAGTCTCCATCCTGATCGCCCTGCTGCCACTGTTGCCGCTGCCGCCAAAACCTCTGCCGCTCGACCCCACAAGGCCTCGGAACTCGCGCCGGCAAGCACCACAGCCTCACGCTCCCTCCTAGCCGAGCACGAGGCTACAACTGCTTTGGGCGGGAGCAGAGCCGAGCCTATACTAGGCTGGCTCCTCCCCGCCCCCATCATGGTGCCTTGCGCCATGACACTGTTGCTGCCCCATTCTCCTCCGCGGCGGAAAAATAGCCCCCGGCCTCCACTGCCTTCGGCGGGAGACCGGGAGCTCCATTGAGGTTAGTGCCAAGCGCTTTGTCCTTTTCTGGCAGATGGAGGGTGCTGAGAAGCAGCTGTCTTTCCCACTACCACCTTTCTCTCTCTCCTGCCTGTAGGACCTGCATTGGAGTTCAAGTGGGACTCTGCAGGAGGGACTGGAGAGGTTTAGCATTGTTGTTTGTGATCTGAGGTTTTCCATCTGACTCACCCTTCCTTTCCACTGTGCTGACACCCTCTCTCTGCTTCACCCCTTTCTTCTCCTTCTTCTCTTCTCAGCAGCCTATGGCAGGCAGCCCCCACCAGTGAATCTGTGGGTCTCCTTCTCCTGCTCTGACTTTGATTGGGCTCTGGGTACCTTCTGCAGGGTGGTTAGCTCAAATGCCTCCTTCATCGTGGACTCAGCAGACAAGCTGCCGCTCCCCTTGGGAGAGATAAATGTCTCTCAGCTAAGGCCAAAGCCTTGTGGTCACTTGCAAGAGATGCCCTTCCCCTCTGTGTCCTCTGGGCCTCCTGCCATAGCTGGCCAGGACTGTAATTTGCTGCCTCACAGCATCAGCGGCATGCCTCAGCTTCTCTTTACCTTTACATGGAGGAGCAGCTTCAGGGCTCAGAGTCGGTCTCTCCTCATCCCTCCTGGCTGCAGGTGTCCTGGGCTAAAGGGTGGTGCCTGTAGTGCTCATGTGAGCGCTCCCTGGGGCAACTAGCAGAAGCTCCCACACTGGTGGCTGCACCTCCGCCCATTGTGAAGCCCCCCCTCCAACGCTCTCCTTCTTGCAACCCCCCCCCAAAGCAACCCTCATATCCCTTTACCCAAGCACCTTGAATGCCCTCTGCATTCAATCCTGCTGAGTGAAATGGGAATTACTTCTGAGTAAACGTGCATACTACAATTACCCAGTTTGCAGCTGTTGTATCTAATGAGGGATTGTGGTTTCATGGCAGACTGCAAGCAGTGCTCAGTTCTGGGACTATTCCCACCTAATTTTTTGTTGTTACCTAAAGAAGCAGTTGTGGATAGCTACAATCTGACTCGGTAATGTTATGTATTTTTTGTGTTTTATTGCTGTCTATATTGTAAGCATAGTTCCCTCTAAGCTGTGCTAGGGGGCACTGGCACACAAAATTTTAATAGGCAGCACAGGGATTACTGCTTCAGCCCTCAAGGCATTTTTCCCTCCACTGGAAGCAATGGAGGATTGGGGAACCTCCTTCTGGGGCCCATAGAATTGGACCCCCTGGTCCAATCTTTTTGAAAATTAGGGGGGAAGGGGCTGAGGAGAGGCACCAGCAGCTATGCTGCAAATTTGGTGCCTCTACCTCAAAAAACAGCCCCCCCCCCGCGCCTCAGATACCCCCTGATTGATTCTCCATTATAGCCTATGAGGCCCATTGACTATAATGGTCCCCATAGGCTACAATGGAGCCAGAAAAAAACATATTTTTTTTGCGCACCCCTATTATACTTTTCAGTATGATTTGTAAGCTGCCTTGAGTCACAGGGGAAATTGGGATATAATTATTTGAATAAATAAGTAGTTTGGGCAGGTTGCTAACATTTAAACAACTTCCTGTTTGTTAGGTTAGGCCGGTTTCTGACAGTGATTATTCCACCTCTGTTATACTTGACCTATAATGCTGGTTGTCATATTTCACTAAAAACACAAAATAGACTGCAAGAGTTTTTTCCCCTCCTAAATGCTGTTATGTTTTCTAAGGCTCAGCACAGGGTGATGGTCCGAGGCAAGGTCTACTAATATAGTAGACTGGGGCAGGTAGACCTGTTCTCTGGAGGCCATGTCTACCGATATAGTGGAAAGGAGTGGGTAGACCTGTTCTCTGGAGGACAAGGCAATTTGTTATGTTTAACCACTTCTCTGTGGATGTGTCTCACATAACTGTGGCGTGAAATGTGCGACTATCGCAGTCGCATGGAACCAATTGCATGGGTCTTCCCTGACCAGCTGTCATCATGTCAAAAGTGATGATCCTGACTTGGTGGGAAATACCATGGGAGAGAATCATGAAGAAATAATGGCTTAGTGAGCATGTGAAAGGGGATTTTGGTAAAGAATGTGTTCCTGGTAGGATAAGAAATTTCCATAAGCATTTGGTGGCTTAGGCAGTGCTTTGCTTCTAACATTATTTTAGTATAAAATGTGTTTTTAAAATATGCATATTGCCTGGTATTTTTGTGTCGCCCACTACGATTTTGCAGCTTTTTAACTGCATACACTTACTTAGCAGGATTGTTTTGAAACCAAGGGTAGGCAACCGCTGGCACATATGCTGACAGTGGCACAACAGGCCATTTTCCTTGATGCTCAGAGCCAGATCTCTGCCCAAGCAACTAAGGCACTATCAACACTGCTACAACCAGCAGTGGGGCTTATGCCTGTCTTCGCCTCCCAGACCTGCACAACTACCAGCTGAAACCAGGGCAAATCCAGCGCCAGTGGGGCTTGGATTGCTCCAAGCACATCTGACCAAGTACAATCATCATTCTCTCCCCCCCCCCCTCCCATTTTTCTTGCTGGTACATCATCATCTTCACAGGTGGATGTTGTATTTTTTCCAGCACTTGGCCCAAAAGGTTCAGCTACCCCCTGTTCTCATTTGATGTGAGGACATCCTGGAAAGTCGGCAGGCTTCAATACTTTCTACACTGGGCGGTGTGCTCTTTCCTCTCCTGAGTCCCTGTTTTCTTCTCTCTCTCTCTTTTTCCTTCCACAGGTGGGGACTGAGTGGGATCCCAAGGAGAGGATCTTCCGCAACTTTGGTGGTCTGATTGGGCCTTTTGATGAGCCAGTGGCTATGCAGAAATGGTCACGGGGCCCCAACCTCACAGCCACGGTTGTCTGGATTGATCCCACCTACATCATTGCCACATCCTATGACATCACTGTTGACGCAGAGGCAGAGTTCACACAGTACAAGCCACCCCTGAACCGGCCTCTTCGCCCTGGTGTGTGGACCATCCGTCTCCTCCAGTTCTGGGAACCCCTGGGAGAGAGCCAGTTCTTGGTGGTCCCACAGACCTTCAATCGCAAGCAGCCTCTCAGGAAAGGTGAGCAGACTGATCTGGGGATAGAGCTGCTTGCCTGGCAGCAGTGTTCCCTCTTAGCTGAGTTTGTGTGAGCTAGCTCACAGGTTTTTTTAGCCCCCGGCTCACACATTTTTGTCTTAGCTCAGGAAGGATGGCTCCAGAGCAAACTAATTTATGCAGCAGCCAAATCGCTCGCTCACAACTTTAATGCCAGTAGCTCACAAAGTAGAATTTTTGCTCACAAGACTCCGCAGCTTAGAGGGACCGTTGCCTGGCAGCTATTCACGATGCTGTGTCAGTCTGGCAAGATCTTGAGCACTAAGGATTCTGGGCCATTGGGCACATTTGCTAGCAACAACCGTAAGGTTTATCACTAAATGTGCACTCAACAGGGACCATCAGCCAGTCACGGCTCTGTGATGAATGTATCTGTATGATGCAGATCCTTTTAAATATATGTCTGACTCTCACGTTTAGGGTTGCCTTCCTCCAGAGAGGGCCTGGAGAGCTGCTGGAATTAAAATTGATCTCCAGACAAAGGAGATCAATTCCCCTGGAGAAAATGGATGCTTTGGAGAGCGGACTCTGTATCCTTATACCCCACTGAGTTCCGTCCCCTCCTTAAATCCTGCCCTCCCACCCCCTCCAATCTCCAGGAATTAAAATCTCCAGGGATCTGCCAATCCAGAGCTGGCAATTCTAGTCACATTACATTTGTAGGTTTACACTTTTAAAAAATCTTACATGTACAGCTAGAAAAATAATGTAAATGAGTTTTTAACCCTCCTTGGGGGAAATGCAAAATTTGCCAGTGTTATCTAAAACCTGTGAATAAAAGATGACACAAAAATAATTCCATACAGAAAATGCTGGGGAACTACAGGGTTACATTCCTTAAAGCACAGGTCCCCGGTGCCATGCTGCCCACTGACTGACACCTTTCCTAGTGCCCACCACGTGTTTTTAGAAAATAGGTGCAGCTGATTCGCCATTAGAGAACCAATTGGCTGTGCGGTTTTCTTTTAAAAAGTTGCTTCAACAGCAACTGCCACCATAGCCCAAAGATCTTCACTGTCAGACTGAAGGTAAGCAGTGTGTTTCACATTATTGTGATAGTAAAACCTTTTGGTGAGTGGTAAACACAAATAAAAGGAGCTGCGGTGGCTCAAGTGGTGAAGACGCTGAACTGCAGGCTGTGGAAGGTCGGTAGTTCAGCAGTTCGAGACCCGAGTGCGCCGCATGATGGAGTGAGCTCCCGTCTCTAGTTCCAGCTCCTGCCAACCTAGCAGTTCGAAAGCAAGAAATTGCAAGTAGATGAATAAGTACCACTTCGGTGGGAAGGTAACAGCGTTCCGTGCGCCTTGGTGTTTAGTCATGCTGGCCACATGACCACGGAAACGTCTTCGGACAGCGCTGGCTCTTCGGCTTTGAAACGGAGATGAGCACCGCAACCCTAGAGTCGGACTCGACTGGCTTTCGAGCAAGGGAACCTTTACCTTTACCTTTAAACACAAATAACAAACCTTTTTCAATAGAGAAAACTCTGCACATTCCAATGAATCTTTGGGGAAGCTATTTTGCCACCTTTTTAAATGAGGAAAAGAAGAGTTCACTTCATTCTCCAGCCTATTATAGACCAATCAGTCTGTTGTGTATACCAAGAAAGCTGTATGCAGCTCATTTACAGCTAAAACTTCGTTGCTGGAGTTACAATTTTTCAATACCAGGTCCAGAACAAATCGGTTTTAAAAAGGGCTCATCTACATTAAGAACATAAGAGACGCCAATGTGGGATCAAGCCAATGGCCCATCCAGTCCAACACTCTATGTCACACAGTGGCCAAAAATACCACGTGCCATCAGGAGGTCCACCAGTGGGGCCACGACAACAGAAGCCCTCCCACTGTTGACCCCCCCCAAGCACCAAGAATACAGTGCATCACTTGCCCCAGACTGAGAGTTCCTATCTATACCTTGGGACTAATAGCCACTGATGGACCTCTGCTCCATATGTTTATCTAGTTCCCTCTTGAAGCTGTCCATGCTTGTAGCCGCCACCACCTCCTGTGGCAATGAATTCCATGTGTTACACTCTTTGGGTGAAGAAGTATTTCCTTTTATCCGTTCTAACCTGACTACTCAGCAATTTCACTGAGTGCCCACGAGTTCTTGTATTGTGAGAAAGGGAGAAAAGTACTTCTTTCTCTACCTGCTCTATCCCATGCATAATCTTATAAACCTCGATCATGTCACCCCTCAGCCGTCATTTCTCCAAGCTAAAGAGACCCAAGTGCTTTAACCTTTCTTCATAGGGAAAGTGTTCCAACCCTTTTATGATTCTAGTTGCCCTTTTCTGCACTTTTCCAATGTTATGATATCCTTTCTGAGGTGTAGTGACCAGAGTATCACACAGTATTTCAAATAAGGTTGCACCATCAATTTATACAGGGGCATTATGATACTGGCTGATTTGTTTTCAGTTCCCTTCCTAATAATCGCCAGCACAGCGTTGGCCTTTTCTGTTGCAGTCACACACTGTTTCGACATTTTCAGTGAGTTATCTACTACAACTCCAAGATCTCTCTCTTGGTCAGTCTCTGCTAGTTCGGACCCCATCAATGTGTATTTATAGTTAGGTTTTTTGGCCCCAAATGCAACGCTTTGCACTTGGCGACATTGAACCTCATTTGCCATGTTGACGCCCTCCTGCTTATCCTCGACAGATCCCTTTGGAGTGACTCACAATCCTCCCTGGTTTTCACCACCCTGAGCAATTTTGTGTCATCTGCAAATTTAGCTCACTCCCAACTCCAAATCATTAATGAACAAGTTAAAAAGTATCGGACCCAGTACTGAGCCCTGTGGTACCCCACTGCTTACCACCCTCCACTGTGAAAATTGCCCAGTTATACTCACTCTCTGTTTCCTATTAATTAGCCAGTTTTTTATCCACAAGAGGACTTGTCCTTTTATCCCATGACTATTGAGCTTATTTAGGAGCCTTTGATGAGGAACTTTATCAAAAACTTTCTGGAAGTCAAGGTAAACAACATCTATTGGTTCCCCCTTGTCCACATGTTTGTTCACCCCCTCAAAGAACACTAACAGGTTAATGAGACAAGATCTTCCCTTACAGAACCCATGCTGAGTCTGCCTCAGTAGTTTTTGTTCATCAATGTGCCTACTAATTCTCTCCTTAATAACAGTTTCCACCGACTTATCCAGTATTGACGTCAAACTGAGTGGCCTGTAATTTCCCGGATCTCCTCTGGAAACCTTTTTAAAGATGGGGGTGGCATTAGCTACCTTCCAGTCCTTAGGAATGGAGGCAGATTTTAATGAAAGATTACATATTTTTGTCAGGAGATCCACAAGTTCACATTTCAGTTCTTTCAGAACTCTTGGATGTATGCCATCCAGGCCTGGTGATTTATCCGTTTTTAAGTTGTCTATCAGTCATAGGACCTCCTCTCTCATCACCTCAATCTGACTCAGGTCTTTCAACACCCCTCCTGAAATCAGCGGTTGTGGAGTGAGCAAGCACTTCTCGTCTTCCACAGTGAAGACAGAGGCAAAAAAACAACAATAAAACTTTAATTTTTTGGCTGATCCAACATTGGCTTCACTTATGTTCTTTATTATTTTTGCAATATGCTCCTCATATTCCCTTTTTGCCTGCCTGATCACAGACTTGCATTTTATTTGCCACAGCCTATGTTTCCTTTTATCAACCTTACTGAGACTACCTTTCCACCGCTTAAAGGAATCCTTCTTACCTTTTACAGTTTCCATTACTTTGTTAATCATGCAGGCCTTTTTCTATACCTATCTGTGCCTTTCCTAACCTGCAGTTTATATTTATCTGAGCTTCTAGGATTGTAGTTTTAAATAGTCTCCGAGCTTCCCCTGTGGTTTTGATCCTTTTGACTTTTCCTTTCCGTTTCCTCTTCACATGTCCCCTCATTCCAGAGAAGTTTCCCCATTTAAAGTCAAAAGTCTTTCTCCTTAGTTGTAGCTCCCCTTTCCTTCTTTTCTTTGTAGTTTATGTAGTATTATAAAAAATTTAAAAATCCCCTTCAGGGGTCTTAAAAAAAAAAGTGGTTGTGTTTAGGGCTCATTTCCTGCCGGAGCTCACTGGAGCATTGCTCCGGCAGTAAGGAGCCCAGGGGGCGGGCACATGCAGGAAGCCCTGCCCCCTGCTCCCCTCCAAAAACCTTGTGGAGCTCAGCCAAACAAGTCGAGGCCGGTGGGGAAGGAGAACCAGCCTCGCTGAGTCACAGGCGGCCAAAGGCGGGAGGGGACGCCACTGCCAGGTCGCCTCCACCCCCCCTCACCCCACCCCCACTTCCAAATCTGCTGGAGTCTCCGCTCGCCCCGGCCGCCCCACGCGCCCTGCTGGCGGGTAGTTTTGCATCGAGGGGAAGTCACTTCAAATTAGGCTTCTGTCCTTCCCTGGGCTGAAACTGAAGAGAGATAAAAAGTTCTTCCTCCTCCTTTTTCTACTGGCTGAGTCTCTTCCTTAGGCAAAGCAAATCAGGGGGAAGTCTTGCAGGCGCCGTGAGAGACCAGGGCAGCTGCGAGCTACAACGGCCGAGGATGGGCCTGCATCCCCGCAGCAGGGGTGTGTGTGCCCGGCTCCCTGTCTGTCCCCAACTCCCTTCCCGTCCCCCGTCTGTCTCTTCCCTCAGCAGCTCCGCTCTGCCCTCCCTTTCCTCAATGCACCCCACCCCAGCCCACCCCTACCGGAGGCTATAACGATGACGACATGCAGTCTGAAAAGCACCTCTGGCAAAAAGGCCGGCTTTCTCCAGAAGGCACTCAGGGAGACCTCTTGGCCGCCCAATACAGGTTAGCGAAAATGGGCACAGATGAGAACCACACCAGATGGACGGAGACACCGGCAGGGAGCGCCCAGGTTTTCTTGTTTACTCTAGGTAGGAGTTGTGTGCGCCCAGGTACTCCGGGCACAAGTACTCCGGATGAACCCACCCACCCATGAGACCAGGGAGAAGCGAATTGTGGGGAGCCCCGATGCTGGATCTTGTTCTGGGCATCCCCTGGGTCGAGACTGCAGGGGTTCACCCCTTCCTCCTCCCGGCCTCTGTCTCCCCACCACCACTACCACTGCCCCACTCGCCCGCCCGCCCTGCCAAATCCACACCCGCTTTGCTTGGAGTGCAGTCATGTCTGGGGAGCAGTTGGGGGGGTGGGGAGCGTTTAATCTCTCAGCTTTGTCGAGAGAACTCAGCCCGAATGACAACAATAGCTGTTCTGGCTTATTTATTGAACAATAATGATAATGCCATTAATGGTGGCTTTCCTAAGATCAAGATAGGTTGCCGTGTTACTCTGTCTGCAGCAGTAGAAAAGAGCAAGAGTCCAGGAGCAGCTTAAAGACTAACAAATTTTGTGGTGGGGGATGAGTTTTTGTGAGTCAATGTTCACTTCTTCAGATAGATCAAGATGGGTCGCTGTGTTAGTCTGTCCGGGGCAGTAGAAAAGAGCAAGAATCCAGGAGCACCTTCGGGACTTAATAAGATTTGTGGCAGGCAATGAGCTTTCGTGAGTCACTGCAAGAATCTAGTAGCACCTTAAAGACCAACAAAATTTGTGGCAGGCAATGAGCTTTCGTGAGTCACTGCAAGAATCTAGTAGCACCTTAAAGACCAACAAAATTTGTGGCAGGCAGTGAGGTTTCGCGAGTCACTGATCACTTTTTTAGATAGATCAAGATGGGTCGCTGTGTTAGTCTGTCCGGGGCAGTAGAAAAGAGCAAGAATCCAGGAGCACCTTCGGGACTTAATAAGATTTGTGGCAGGCAATGAGCTTTCGTGAGTCACTGCAAGAATCTAGTAGCACCTTAAAGACCAACAAAATTTGTGGCAGGCAATGAGCTTTTGAGAGTAACTGCAAGAATCCAGTAGGGGCAGCCAGCAGCCAGTAACTGCAAGAATCCAGTAGCATCCTAAAAGCTAACAAAATTTGTGGCCGGGGATGAGTGTTCGTGACTCACTGGCAAGAGTCACTTCCAGTTATGTCAGGGGGTGTGGCATATGCAAATAAGTTATGCTAACGAGTTGTGCTAATGAGCTCCTGCACCTCTTTTTCTACGAAATGACCCCTGGTTGTGTTGGTCTTTTGGGGCAACTCACTATTTATACAAATGTTGAACTCAATCACATTATGGTCACTGTTCCCAAGTGGGGCAATCACTTTTACATCTCTCACCAGGTCTTGGGCGTTACTTAGGACCAAATCCAGGATCACCTCTCCCCTGGCAGGTTATGTGACCATCTGCTCCATAGCATAGTCACTGAGAGTGTCTAGAAACTCAATCTCTTTTTCCCGACTTGAACACATATTGACCCAATCAATGGTAGTTAAAATCACCTAGTACGACACAGTTATTTTGTCTAGCCACTATCTTTAATTAAGTCATCATTTTATAATCCTCCTCTATCTTTTGATCTGGTGGGCGATAACAAACTCCCAGTATTAAGCTTCCTTTTGGGCCCACTATTTCAACCGATAGCTTTGCCAGAAGCGAATCCAATTCTCAATCTTACTGGACTGTATACCCTCTCTTACAGAGCCACTCCACCCTTACTGGACTGTATACCTTCTCTTACAGAGCCACCCCACAGAATGGGACGTATCTAACAAGTTCCCGAGAGACTTCTCCATGCGCCTGACTGTCTCTGCTTCATACATATGTACTCTCCTTTCTTGTTGAGAAATATTCATCATTCTGTCATTAAATTTCGGTTTTCCTTTTTCGAGTCATCAATAGTTCCTGTCTTGTTTCAGTTGCTAATTTCAGATACCTCTATGTCCACCTGGACTAGAAATTTAGAAAAAAGACTTTCTGTCCCAATAGATTGTCATAAGGCTGCAAGAAATAGTACTAAGAAAGTAAGCTGTAAAAAGTTTCAAAATAAGATTTTAAATGAAGACTGGTCCTTGGTTTCAAGGACGCAAATCGAAAAATGTTCTCCACTCCAGCTGCCCACAGCTGAAGGCTTCTGGATGGTCCATAGGGGAGGGAGGTCCAGCTGCTGAGCCACATGTTTGGTGGCAGGGCTAGGCCCCCAACGTGTAGAAGAAACTGTCAAAGAATGCCCCCGCCCATGGGCCAAAGCACAGCTGCCTCGGGGGGGGGGCACAAATACAGCAACGAGCTGGCTGCCAGCAGGTCCTAACAGACGATCACCTCATCATCTGCGCCCCCCCCCCCCCAGCATGCAAATGCTGATCCCTGTGGCCATCCAGGATAGCATCCCTGGAGCTGCAGGCCAAGTGGAGAGGTATGAATGCAGCTGCAGTGGCTCCCAACATACCAGTGAAGCTGTCCCTGAAGTGAAGGGGTTCTGCTTGACTGCTGCAGGTGAGGTTGTTCCGCCATGCTGAAGCCACAGTTGGAGGGGCTCTACCCACCCCCCCAAACAGCCCTTGCATCAGTTGCTTGTGGGCCGCACAAGAGCCCTGGACGGGCCAGTTCCAGCCCCCCAGGCCTTATGTTTGACACCCCTGGGACCTAGCTCATATTGTTTTAGTATGTCCCCAAAACAGTACCATGTGGGAAAAAAATATTACTTGGGTAAAACAGCTAATGACACTTTCTGAGAAGTGGACACTGCGCTATCTGCTATCAAGTAGATTGGTGAACTGCATGAGAGTTGGTGGCAATTTTTCTCTTTATCATGTCAAGAGGGAACTGACTATTATTCTCACTTTTTTTCTTTAGAAACTGTGGGTGAATAGCTAATGGCTGTTAAATCTAGGGGAAAGAAAGAAAGAAAAGGTGAAAGAAAAGAAGTTCTAGAAACAGATAAACCATTAACCTCTACTAGAAAATTTAACAATACTATTAAATTTGTTATAAAAATAGACAATCACACTGGTATTGTTGATGGAACAGTGGAGTTCTCTTGGTTTCTGCAAGGGAGAGGTAGGTTTATTGTAGGATGTGGTGGGTGTTTTCAGGTCTGTGTATTCAGCAATAAGAAAAATTCTGTGCCAAGAAAAACCAAATTCAATCTTATTATCTGGACAAATTAAGCATATCTGAATCTTTTAGTTCTGTGCATAATGCATTCTGCTTCTCTTAGTAATTGGGCAAAGAGCTATACAGGGCACTGTTCTCACGCTTTGACCACTGGAAGGCCTGGTCAGTTGCTTGTAACAAAGGGTAGTGCTGCTGTTGTTGAGATATTGTTCTTCACAGCTTTAAAAGCACGATTGTGACCCATTTCTTTTAAGGGTACTGATCTCTCTCTCTCTCTTTTTTATTTTAAATGAAAGTAGAGACTCCCGGGAAGCTAAATTCTGTGCCCAATGCCATTTTGAAATTTTTATTTTATTTACTACAGTTTCCCAAAGGCTTGTTACAAAATATTTTAAAACCTTTGATTATAAGGGGCTTCCCCTCAAAAATTTCACATCCTTCACCAGGGCGGTGGATATTATGCGACAGGAGTGGGGAGAGTCTAATGGTGAGCCTGGTAAGGGGACTGGAGGATAAAACGGCCCTCTTCCAGTTGGGCGTCGACACAGCTGAGCTCTCTGATCTTCTCTCCTTCTGTCTTCCTGTTCAGATGACAGCAAATGGCTGCACTCCGGTCCTCCCCGCAACGAGTACATGGAGCAGAATTTCCAGGGCCTGGCTGGGATCTTGAGCCTGCCACGTTTGGATGAAACAGAGCGGGCCAACCATCAGCACACGCAGCTGGTGGGCAAGGCTCTAGAGAACTGGACAGACAGCAGCATCGGTGGCTTCTGGCTGGTGGCCGGCCTGTGTGTGGCAAGCCCTTCCAGTTGCTCCACCCTGGAGCTGTGTAGCAAAACCTCGTGGAGTTCGCTGTCCCCAGACCCCAAGTCAGAACTGGGGGCCATCAAGCCTGATGGGCGACTGAGGTAGCAGGGGCAGCCAGCAGCACATTGTCGGGAGCAAGGAAGCATCCACACATCAGGCGGGCATACGTTCCCCTGCACACACAGACACACACAGGGAAAACTCTAGACTACATCGTCCTGTGGTAATGCACTAGGGCAAATGCAAGAGAGGATTCCCAAAGCAGACAGCTATCGCGATGGTCTGCGGTGCGGATGATGTAAAGATGGAGGTCCCACTCACCGTTCTCAGGATTGGCCAGAGAGAACATGTGGATGGGAGAAGCTGACCTGTTCATGAATCCAAGCAATGGAAACTGATCTGGCAGGTGAGCTGCCGGCTTCTTGGCTCCAACGGGCTCTTCCCAACCAAGGATAATGTTCTACAAGATCAGGACTTCTTGTTCCCAAATGGTTGCTGGCAAAGGATTCTGGGAAATGGGGGAGGGTAGGCTGGGAATGCAGGCAGCTAGGCTGTCACTGTGTCTGTGTCCTCTGAGCAGCTGGTGCTGGCTTGACGCTCATTTTCCATCTTCCCACCCCATCCTTTTAGTTCCTATTTTTTTAAGAATAAATGTTATGTGTATTGTATAAAGCAAAGTGCAATAGAAACCACAGTCATTTCCCCCCCTCCAAAGGGAGGATCTCAGCGTCTCCATTTTCTTTTTATACTGTAACGTATCTTCTTGTCTTTGATTATTCTGTCGGCATGCAAAGAGGGTGGAATGCTTGGATTTCTCCTAATGGTGCTCACTCCTTGGCTCTTGCTACGGATAACTTGAGAGAGGGGGCTCTCTCCTTTTGTCCAGTGCAGAACCACCCCTCAAACACACACACTTTACTTAGAAGTCAGGAGGGAGCCAGGCCTCTCTTGGCTGCTGCGCCAAGGCTCCCCGTTAACAGAGCTGCCAATTTGTGCCAAACTTCTGTATCTGTTCAAGCCCCTTCAGCAGTGTCTCAGAACCCACCCGGTTCTCCCTCCTTTTGTTAGCCTGAAACCGGGTTGGTACTGTATTTGGTGGCCTCTCACAGAGCCATTTTGTGGCTACGTACTAAACTCCTCCCCTTGCTTTCAGGATGAATTGTCTTTCCATTGGGCTGCCACAGTCTCTCTGCCCCTGCTACGGCTGCCACAGTAGACAGTCAGCCCTGACTCCCCCATCCCCCACTTCCCCTCAGGCTGCTGGATGGGTTTTGGTTTTCATGTTAACATTGTTAAATAAGTCATAATTTGTGTGTCTTCCTCCCCACCCCATACACCAGCTCTCTAAAGGTGACTGCCTTCCAGGCAAAAACAGTGTTTTCATTTGCTGGGATTGTCCCTGTTCTGTATTTAATGTTGTCCAATGTATGATCCTTCATATGCATCCCAGTTGCTGAGTGAACCACCCGCAGTTGAACTGGGGACAGCAGTGCCAGGAAAGGGGGGGGGGCTTTGTCTTTTTCCTAACAGTGGTTATAAAACAAAAGTGTTAAGATAAAAGGGACTCCCCTGGGGCAGCCTTTCCCCCCAATTTGTGCCATATCAAATTTCAGTGCAAACACCTAGATGACGACTTCACATGGGGATGAACTGTTGCTGCCGCCTCTTCAAAGGAGCGTAGAAGGTGGCTCTTTGTTTCCAGTTGAGCTAGGCCTGAGGTTCAGAGTTCTGATGCAGACCTGGCAAGATTTTAAAGAATGTTTGGATCTCAGGGCTTGGACTGACCCTCTCAGGAGAGGGGTTGCCTGCATTTCCTCAAACCATGAGTGTTTTCTAGGTCAGATGTGCAGATCATAAACAATATCTGGCCGTTGCTTTAAGATGGCTTGGGTGGTGCTAACATTTTTTTAAGGGAATGGATGATCTTTTGGAATGCAGTTTGCCAGACCCATAACTCCTATGTGGAAAAAACTGATTGATTTGTTCTTTGGGGTGAGATCTGCATAGGACCGGTACCCCTTGCCACCAGATACCACCCTCTGTTTTCAATAATGGCGATTAGCCCCTGCTTCTAGAAAGTGGACTCATGAAATGTGTTCTGTGTTCTGAGCTGGGGGGAGGGGAGGGGAGGACTAGGCAGGGCAAAAAACCTGTTCCAAAGAATGAATGCTGAAAGCTTTGTGTCAGAAGCATTATGTAAAGTTGTCTGAAATATGCAACGCAAATACATCTATATCTCTACAGTGTGAATAGTGTGAATTCTTGAAGCCAGTTTTTCTTTCAGTGTGCTCAAGACAGACCCAAATGGGTTCATTTTGATGGTGAGATCTAGAGAAACACCAGCCTATTGGCATCATTCTACTAGAATAAGATGCTGGGAGAAGAGAGTCCAGTGGTCAGAATCAGCTTCCATAGATCCCAGCTATCTTTTTATTAGTGTGAAGTCTTAGATGTAGTCTAGGATCCAGTACCACTTCCAGTGCAAAGTCTTTGGGGTCCAGGCAGTCTTTGTGATTGAGAATGGGAAAGGGAGGTGCAGTGTCGTTCCTTCCCCCTTTCTCCAGCTCCAAAGTATCTCCTAGCTGGGACTTCATAGCTCTCTCTTCATGACACCAGTGCTTCCAGTTCTTTTCCCCTCATTGCCTGCCTAAATTCCACAGATAATATAACTCCTTTAGCCGGTATCGTACAAATCAAACATATTTAACCTCCATTGGTATTCTCTGTTTAGAATCTGAATTTTCTATTTTGTAGAATCTGGGGCATTTGGGTAAAGAATTCATAGGGCACCAAGTATAGCCCACTGTGTTGCCTTGCGTTGAAGCTTAATAGCCTGGAGGTTGAACAAATTTAGAGACCAGTGGCACCTTTAAGACCACCAAAGGTTTATTCAAGGTATGAGCTTTCATGTGCAAGGCACATTTTTTCAAATGCCTGGAGGGTGAAAGAGGAATATTACCTTTAAAAAGTATTTGAGATGTTATTTTCCCCTACGGCCTGTCACAGGTTCCTCACATTCACAGTACATTGTTGCTACAAGCTGGACTGTGGTGTTTTGTATTCACATTGATGATACAGTATGGAGATGTCTGACATCAGGTTTCATTTCCTGGTATACTCTCTGCTTTTAATTATTAAAAGGTTTCTAGTTATCATGGTTGTGGAAAATGTGTGGAAGTAGCGCTTGGGCAAGATTCACAGCGATGGAATGGGATGGGGCAGGCTTGAAACCCAACTCAAAACACATAAAATACTAAATGTATGTATCTTTGGTGCAAAATAAATCCAACTTTGGTTTATATGCAAGTGGTGGATGTGTTGGGCACAGGTGGGAAGGAGCACATGAAAGAGATGGTCCAGGAACTGTGGTTCTCTTCATCACCAAATCACTTAACTGACCTGCACTGATTAACAGCAAGGGCTTGCAAGTATTGAATGAGATCCTTGTCAGTCCATTGTGAAGGAAATGAACAAATTAATCTTTGCAGAGTGTTCCGAGTCCCCTTGCATAAAAATTGGTGTAGCGCTGTCAAGCGTGATTAACCTTGCCATATCGCCTTTATTACTAACCTGCACACTGCTGCACTCTGGGGGGCTGAGCAAGGCTGCCTACGCTCAGATATTATAATCATCTTTTAATGAGCCTAATGAGGGCTCATCGAGTAAATATGGCATTCTTCCAAAACCCATTCAGCAAACAGATTTTGTAACAGCACCAGGGAGACTGACTCCTTTTATTGGTAAATGGGGGGGGTATTAAACAAAACAGCTTCTAGATTTTGTGTGTGTTTTCTTAATGCTGGGTAGACATAGGTGTGCTCCTGTTAGCCGAATTGGCAATTTATAAATGAGTTCTTGCCAATTTATACCAAGGTCCTGATCCCACCAAGGATCACCAGTAAAGGATTCGAGGCTGTTGTGGTTAAAATAGATGTCTTTTACTTAAAAATATATCTCATACAAACAATACTGATGCACTCACACATTCAATCAAGTTTCTAAGATTTACAGTAGGAAATAAGCACAGTTGCATTAGCAGGTAGGGGTGATGGTGGGCGATACTTAACTGTCTTGAAGCTTGGTTGTTCCAATGAAGAATGGATGGGAAGAAATGGAAAACAAAGGGAATTCACACACGACCAGAACCAGCTGGAGGCAAGGGTTGGGGATAGCAAGTGGGACTTAAGAGGGGTTAAAGCAGACAGGGGTTGTTGCAGGGGAAGTGCTAGCTAGGAGAAGTCAGGTGACTGGTTCTCTCCTTTTATAGGGGGTCCAAGAGATGGGTGGTAACTGTGCCAACTGTGCCAACCTCTTGACCCACCTACCTGTTAGTCCGTCCCAAAAAAATCCTATTGGTTGCATGTGGGAAGGGGAGGTTACCTAAGAGGGGTGGCCAATATTGTAACCTAAAACCTTACTCGAAGTATGGCATCTGGACAGGTGTGAAATCTAGGCGTCAGGATGCTCCATTGTAGTGCTGATGAAGCTGGCCAGTTTCATTGATAACCAAATGTCCATATGGCAGGAGATTCCAGCTCAGGAACAAAGCAGGTGATGTGTAGTACGTGACTACAAGCAGCTCTGTCATGGGGGCTGTCTCTTCCTAGAGCTGTTGTTTCATTGCTCACAATAATGGAGGTTTGTGCTTCTTCACCAGGCTGGGCAACTGTGTAGCTGAAACCTTATTTACATGTAAGGTATGTGCAGGCACCCTCTATGTGTGGCATCACAACAGGTGACCTAAAGTGTACAGTTCTCTTAGCCTATGTGTGTATGCACAGTCCATGTGTAGCAATAAGCAGTCCATAAAGCAAATATCAGGCTTATTGCCTTCTTCTGCCTAGTAAGAATTGCAAAGGTTCTGGCTTATTATCCCATCTTGTTTTCATTCTCTGGGGCTACAGTAATCTATGCAGTGGTCACCTCTAGGCTAGACTACTGTAACTTGCTCTATGCAGGGCTACCCTTGAGATTGACCTGGAAGTTACTACTGGTCCAGAATGCGGCGGCACAGGTTCTTACTGGAACCCCATTAACTGCACACTTTACACTGGTGCTCTGCCAGCTGCACTGGCTCCAGGTTGAATGCCAGATCAGGTTCAAAGTTCTGGTATTAAGAAGAAGAGATTGGATTTATACCCCGCCCTTCACTACCCAAAGGTGTCTCAGAGCAGCTTACAAACTCCTTTCCCTTCCCCTCCCCACAACAGACACCCTGTGAGGTAGGTGGGGCTGAGAGAGCTCTTTTGAGAACTCTTTTTCAAGGACAGCTCTTATGAGAACTACGGCTTGCCCCAGGTCATCCAGCCAGGTGCAAGTGGAGGAGTGGGGAATCAAACCTGGTTCTCCCAGATTAGAGTCTGTGCACTTAACCACTACACCAAACTAACCTTCAAGGTCTTAAATGATCTGGGACCAACATACCTTCGGGTCTGCCTCTCCTTGGAACACCCCTCAAAGAACCTTGCACTCAGCTGAGAAAAACCTTCTGGAGATCCCTGGCCTGAAAAATATCCGGCTTGTAACGATATGAGCTTATGTTTGTATTTCTGTATAGTGGTGATGCTGCTTATGTGTGTCTCTAGCATGAATACCTATGCAATATGTATTCAGGGATTGCTGTATGTTGTGTGTTGCTTTGTTCTGCATCTCATGCTTGCCTAGAAATAGGCTGGCCTGGGCCTGCCGTTGCACATACGGACCATGTGCGTCCCTGGAATGTATCCCATGACTCTGTGGGATGGAGAAGACACCGCGCCATTGCACCCACTTGGAGAGCTATGGAAAATCCCCAGCGAACCCCGGCATTCTTGGAATGGAAAGAGCAAGTGACCCTACTCCCTTAATCTGGTTTGGAGATCTAAAGACAATAGCGTTTATGGCTTTGGAGCAGGAACCAGATCTGCAAATCAAGAGGTGTCCATGGGAACGGAAGATTCACACCTTGCCAAAAGGCACCTTTGATGTAGGAGTAGGATCTGCATATTGCCACCACCCCTCAGGAGAGCGTCATCCCCTCGTCACCCCCTCGTCACCCCCTCTTCATCCAGTAGTGATAGTTTAGAGGACGGGTTTGATAGTTTATGGCTGGATAGCACATGCCCCAAAAAGAGTTTATTTAAGGAGAAACTCTCCTTTGTCTCTCTGGTTAACCCACCCTCCCCATAGCAGTGCACTAAGGTGCTACAAGTGACTCTACTACCTAAGTTCTCCGGAGTCGCGACCCAGAGAGCTCACACGTGGTTTGGCTGGTCCTACCTGTGTGCCTTGGAGTTCACAAGCTGCTGCATTTCGGCTGCCCAGCGTTCCAAGGAGGAGAGTTCTTCCTCAGCTGGACCTCAGATGAGTATAGCCGTGCCCCATTGTGTCATCCCCATTTTGATGCTTTTGTTATTTTCTATGCTGTAATTGTTCTAATGTACTATTGTAACTAAGGAGCTTGTATGAATTTGTATGATTCCGATTTTGTATGCCTGATGAAAAACCTTTAGTAAAGACAACATTTATTTAAGGACTAGCGTGTTGTCTCACTTCCTGGGATATAGCCGAGCGTCTCATTCGCCATCCGACCTCTGTATAGACTGGTATAGAACTTACGCACAGCCACAAACACCCAATTTTCCTTGGTAGATAACTTGGATTGGGTCTCCAGGAATTTCCTGGAGAAGTTGGCATAACAGATCGTCCTCTGACCTGGTGGAACTTTCTGCTAAACAGGATCTGTGTCCTGCAGGACCTGTTACAGTTCCTCAAGGCTTGTAAGGCAGAGATGTTCCACCAGGCCTATAGTTGAGGATATCAACAGTTTTAATTAGCCTGGCCTCCCTTTTCTGCTCACTCCCCCTTGGGGAAAGCAAACTGAGTCAGACGCTATCTGAAATTGTCACTGAAATTGTTTTAACAATTTTTAAATTGATTACGTTTGTATTTGAATGTTGTATTACCACCTTGAGCCCCAAGTATGGGGGAGGGCAGTCTAAAAATCCAATCAATAAAAATAAACATAGTGGTCGTGTTCTCTCCCAGGAATGGTCAGCTAGTACTTCTTGTCACCTTAAGACCTGCTGCTTGATCTGTGTCCAGCCCTTGCTACCTGATACTGTGTCTTGAGGGGCATATCAGAACTAGCCATGTGTGATGGAAGTAGTTTGGTTTTTCTGCCCATGTGCCCTAATCAGAGTGTACATTTAAAAAAAAAAAGTTTGAGCTAGAGGGGAAGACAATGAGGGAAAGTTCTTTTAGCGCAGGTGAATAAGGGCAGACGGCTGCCTCAGCATCATCCTGAGTCTCTTCCC